TTTTTTTTTTTTATTAAATTATAGCTGTGTACATTAATACTGTCATGGGGTACAGTGTGCTGTTTTTATATACAATTTGAAATATTTTCATCAAACTGGTTAACATAGCCTTCATGATAGCCCAAGAATATGGGGAGGGGGAGGAGTATGGGTGGAGGGAGGGTAATTGGTGGGATCACACCTATGGTTCATCTTATAAGGGTACATGTGAATCTTTCTAAATGTAGAATATAAATATCTTAACACAATAACTAAGAAAATGATATGGCAGCCTTTAATATGGCTTGACTGCACTTATCCATTAGGGAACTGTCATGCAAATCAATAAAAATGAAAGAATGAGAATAATTGGCATTCTGACTCTAGCCACTACCAAAGCAAAAAGACACTGTGGATATATTTCCCCTTTCTCCCAGTGGTTATCAATTAATTACAAAGTTGTATTATATATCTTTCCCTCTTGTGCTCCTACTTTAATGTAAACATGCGTTGCTCACATTTGTCTTTTCTTGCTGATGTGCCATTTGTCATTTTGGAGTTTTCTTCTAAACCACTAATCCACTCCCGTAACACCAGTGCTTACATTTGTCTCTTCAGTGACTCCTGCTGTTTTTGCATCTACAAAGTAAGGGAGTAAGCATCCCAAAGCTGAATAAGGCAGTCTGGCTAGTATGAAATAACAGAATAGTTATATTTTTCTCTTACATAAGTAAAAATCTTTTTTTAAATAAAAAACAGATTAATATAAATATGTATTAAGAAGCAGAGATCTATTAAATATATATGCAAAACATATTTTATTGGTCCAGTAGACAAATTCAGAATTTTTTCATGTTCTGTCACCTGACTTTATAACCTTCTAACTAATCTTGGTCCTATGCCCTATTCTAATACTATGCTGTGTTACTCGTAGTTTCCTAAATGTGCTGTTTCTCATGCATCCATGCCCTTTCCAATTGTGTTCTTTTTATTCCTAAAGTTTACAGTAGTCAGTTTGCCACCTAATAAAATATGACATAATATGAAATGTAAGTAACTATCCCCATTTGTGATCATATTGTATCACATGTATAATTTTCTGTCATAGCACCTGCTATGCATATTGCATTTAAGCACTTATATCTTTGCCTTTGTGTCAAAACAGATGCTCCTTGATAACAGGAAGATAGTCATGTGTCACTTAGCAGTGGGGATATGTTCTGAAAGTGTGCATTAGGTGTTCTCACCATTGTGCAAACATTATAGTATAAACAATACTTACACCAATCTAAATAGTACATGTAAGCTATATAGCCTCTTGCTCCTAGGCTACAAACCTGCAAGCATGTTATTGTACTATAGGCAACTGTAACACAATTGGACACGAATGGAAAGTATTTGCATATCTAAACACAGTAAATGTCTAAACATAGAAGGTACAATAAAGTTTTGTCTTGTAGGACCACTGTTAAATACGTAATAAGTCATTGACCAAAATATCACTATGCAGTGCATGACTGTAGTTGCTTTTATTCATCTTTGAATCTCCAGCAGAGTTTCAGGCATGAAGTGGTAGCTCAGTAAATATATATTGCACAAATACTGTATTTTATCCACGTATAAAGTAGGGTACAGGGTTGCAGCATTTCATAACTTTCCAGAGTAAATGCTACAGTTGGTATGTTAAGCGCTAGTTCACATGTCTTTTCAATTGTATTCTATCGTGTTTGCTTCATATTGAACTATGTTGTTCCAGGGACCAGTGACACTAAAGGACGTTACAGTGGAATTCACCAAGGAGGAATGGAAATTACTGACCCCTGCTCAGAAGACTCTATATAAGGATGTGATGCTGGAAAACTATGGTCACCTGGTCTCAATAGGTGAGAAAAACTTCCCCATACGTAGCTCTTATTAGTTTGCATTACCTTTCCCAGTTGCTGGAACATTTAAGGTTCCTATAGGGTTGAATGATCATAGCTTTTCAGAGGTCAAAGTTAATGAATCCATTTTGGGTAGTAGGAAAAAATAATCAGTACCCCTACATACCCACTGAAAGAAGCTAAATTTGCCAACCCTAGGTGGGACCTTCATTGTTCTCCTGAAATGGTACTTCTTTATTCTTCAGAGTCCCTAAATTATAAGCAATTTGTATCATTTCATTTTTCTTTTCCCTTAATAGGTTATCGTGCAAATAAGTCAAATGCATTTTTAAAGTTGAAGCAAGGAAAAGAGCCATGGATATTAGAACTAGAATTTCCACGTCGAAACTTGCCTGGTGAGCTAAAAGATATCCCATGTTATTGGTGAGGTGGTGGGTACCTCTTGCCTTTTGAAATGTTTTGGGGCTCTTTTTCTAAGTTTAATTCTGGGCTTGGCGCCTGTGGCTCAAGCAGCTAAGGCACTAGCCACATACACCTAAGGTGGTGGGTTCGAATCCCCAGCTGGGGCCCGCCAAACAACGATGGCTGCAACCAAAAAATGGCCGGGCGTTGTGGCGGGCGCCTGTAGTCCCAGCTACTTGGGAGGCTGAGGCAGGAGACTCGCTTGAACCCAGGAGTTGGAGGTTGCTGTGAGCTGTGATGCCATAGCACTCTACCCAGGGGGATAGCTTGAGGCTCCGTCTAAAAAAAAAAAAAGTTTAATTCTGGAGATGATTAAAGACACAGGTACGAAACCTAAATTACACCTCTAATCTCTCCTTTTAAATTCTCTCCTTTGTTCAAGTTTTTAAAAATTGATTTACTTTTCTTTCCTATATACAATCTCTAATCCCTTTGTAACCTTGTATAAAACTTTTTTTTTGTCTTTTTCTCTAGAATTCTCAGTTACTGTCTGCAACTGGAGTATACATCTATAATCTTAGTGTTTATAAATCTGACTTACAGTTTTTTTTCAAATGACATCTCTTACTAACAACAAAATACTTCAATTATTTTTGGCACCAGGTTTAATTTTCTATTCTCTCTGTGAACTCTGAATGCATATTATATACCATAATGCCACTCATCATTTGTATCATTCCAGAATTGATACTTTTTTCTTTCTGGTGTTTATCTTTTACACAAAATGCTGATTATCCTTTCTTAAAATTTCCTACACCTCATTTGGAGTGTATTAACACTAAGATAATCTTATCCTGCTTCCTTCCATGCTTTTTCTTGTATTTTCTGACTCGTGTACTGATGTGATGCCAGAATCAGGAACATATATTTTACTTCTTACTAGATATTTGCTGAAATGAATTTTGATTAACAAAACACAGAGCTGCTCTACCTTCTGCTCTATGCCCTTTATAGTAACTTTTATAGGCACTCATCCATTGTTAAAACCAAAGCATTGGTTTTTATTTTAAGAACTCCTAAAATTGACCTCCCAGGCATCTTTGTCCTATTTATTTTCTAGTCCCATATTTTACCTTTATATATATATATATATATATGTACAGATTGTTGAATTTTTTTATTTTTTATTTTTTTTAATTGTTGGGGATTCATTGAGGGTACAAGAAACCAGGTTACACTGATTGCATTTTTTAGGTAAAGTCCCTCTTACAATCATGTCTAGCCCCCAAAAGGTGTGACAGAAACCAAGACCCCACCCCCCTTCTCCTTTCCTCTGTCTGCTCTTCTTTTCCCCACTGCAACCTCCTTTTTCTCTCTGCTCTCCCCTTCTCCCACCCCTACCATGTCATTAATTGTCATTAATTGCCCTCATATCAAAATTGAGTACATAGGATTCATGTTTCTCCATTCTTGTGATGCTTTACTAAGAATAATGTGTTCCACTTCCATCCAGGCTAATACAAAAGCTGTAAAGTCTCCATTTTTATTAATGGCTGATTAGTATTCCATGGTATACATATACCACAGCTTGTTAATCCATTCCTGGGTTGGTGGGCATTTAGGCTGTTTCCACATCTTGGCAATTGTAAATTGAGCTGTGATAAACAGTCTAGTGCAAGTGTCCTTATGATAAAAGGTTTTTTTCCTTCTGGGTAGATGCCCAGTAATGGGATTGCAAGATCAAATGAGAAGTCTAGCTTGAGTTCTTTGAGGGTTCCATACTTCCTTCCAAAAAGGTTGTATTAGTTTGCAGTCTCACCAGCAGTGTAAAAGTGCTCCCTTCTCTCCACATCCACGCCAGCATCTGCAGTTTTGAGGTTTTGTGATGTGGGCCATTTTTGCTGGGTTTAGATGGTGTCTCAGGGTGGTTTTGATTTGCATTTCTCTAATAACTAGGGATGATGAGCATTTTTTGATATGTTTGTTAGCCATTTCTAAAGAAGAACCTTCTTTAGAGAAGGTTGTATTCATCTCTATTGCCCATTGATATATGGGATTCTTGGCTTTTTTCATGTGGATTAATTTGAGTTCTCTATAGATCCTAGTTATCAAGCTTTTGTCTGATTCAAAATATGTAAATATCCTTTCCCATTGTGTAGATTGTCTATTTGCTTTGGTTGTTGTTTCCTTAGCTGTACAGAAGCTTTTCAGTTTAATTAAGTCCCATTTGTTTACTTTTGTTGTTGTTGCAATTGCCAGGGCAGTCTTCTTCATGAAGTCTTTCCCCAGGCCAATATCTTCCAGTGTTTTTCCTATGCTTTCTTTGAGGATTTTTATTGTTTTATGCCTTAAATTTAAGTTCTTTATCCATCTTGAATCATTTTTTGTGAGTGGAGGAAGGAACAGGTCAAGTTTCAGTCCTTTACATGTGGATATCCAGTTCTCCCAACCCCATTTATTGAAGAGGGAGTCTTTCCCGCAGTGTGTTCTTGTTTGGTTTATGGAAGATTAGGTGGTTATAAGTTATTGGTTTCGTTTCCTGGTTTTCTGTTTGATTCTAAATGTCTATGTCTTGATTTTTCTGCCAGTACCATGCTGTCTTGACTATTATGGCCTTGTACTACAGCCTAAAATCTGGTATGGTGATGCCCCCAGCTTTGTTTTTATTACTAAGAACTGCCTTAGCTATATGGGTTTTTTTCTGATTTCATTCAAAATGCAGAATCATTTTTTCCAAGTCCTGAAAATAGGATGTTGGTATTTTAATAAGGATGGCATTGAATCAGTAGATGGCTGTGGGAAGTATAGACATTTGAACAATGTTGATTCTTCTCAGCCATGAGCATGGTATGTTCTTCTATTTGTTAAAGTCCTCTG